CCGTTATACTTGCACAGATTCTGTCACGAATCCTATCATTCCCTCCGTTTTTCCACATGTTCCCTGGGCTCTTACATCATTTCTGTCTCTCTGCCTGACTGTGAAATGTTTGTGAATGAACCACAAAAACAGAAAGATTCTCAGTTATCCTCCAACTTGCAAGAGCAGGAATGTCCTCTGCAGACTTTAAGTGGGACGCCCACCCCTTCAGAGTCTAGGAGGAAAGTGTGGGGACCACCAGGAGCAGAGCTAGGAGATGCCCACTGCTCCTGGGAGATGGGCCAAGCTTCTCTTTGGGTCTCTAAGTGTGGCCTGGGAGCATCAGAATGTCCAGGGCAACAGGGTATAAACAGACCTACTTGTTTTTGAGTGACCCTTCCAGAGAGGTCAGGGGAGAGGGGGGTGAGGTGGCACACAGAGGTGGGAGAAGCTCCACCTGTACCTCGAGTTGGAGTCGACTCCAGAAAGCAGCTGTGACTGTGAATTGAGGGCTTTGACTTTACAAGCCAATCATGGAGCAGTGTGTCAGCCACCTGGGGTCTGAGTCTGGCATTCCCCGAGCTATGTGTCTGGGCATTAAACAAGACTAAGCTTAACCAACACGTGAAAGAACCCTAAGTTTATGAGTGTTCATGTTGACTTCACAGTGATGGGGAAGTCCCTCACCCCAGGTGCCCGGTGCGGCTCAAACACTCTGAGGGACAGCCTGCCCCCCCAGGGAGGTGAACATGGACTCCCAGCACCATCACTAGAAAATGGCCCCAGGTGGGGTTTGCTAAATAGTACGCAGTACCAGATGCAGTGTGTCAGAGCGAAGGCTGCATCCATTTCAATTTGCTTACATTTTGTAGTAATAATGAGATTATTAGAGTCTAGAAATGGAATAGGGACTTTCACAGACAGGGCTCAGAACCTGAACTGCTACAATATCCTGCCCAATCCTACCCCAGCTGGGCTGGCACCCTCTGCCCCAATCCTCTCTCTCTCTCTCTCTGTCTTTCTTTTTTCCCAGCAATAAGAATGAAGGATATCAGAAATCTTCTTCTAATGGGCACATTGTAAACTCCTCCAGGGCTAAATATGTGTATCCTGTTCCTCATGTTGTGTAACTGTTTCCCAGGCCTTCCAATTACTGGTGCCCACGGTGGGAGTTCAATCAGGATTAATGGCTAACACTATTGCCTTACATTCTAGTACTTTCTTCTCTTGAGAGAGCCCTCATGACAAGTTTTATATTCCTCAATGACTGCCAAGGTAGTTCTTACTGCTAGACTTAATAGTGACTTCTACCCTTCTGATCACATACACTGCCTTCAGAATCTGGAACTTTTGTAATGATTCCTCAAAATACTAAAATGGATCTACCATATGACCCAGCAATTCCACTCCTAGGTATCTACCCAAAGGACACAAAAACAATAATTCAAAAGGAAACCTGCTCTCCTGTGTTTATTGTAGCACTATTTACAATAGCCAAGCTATGGAAACAACTTAAATGATCCAGAACAGATGAGTGGATCAAGAAGATGTGATATATATATACATATACACACACATATATACACACATATATGTGTGTTCACCGACTTTCATTCATTTTTTCCTAATTCCTTATATATGTGTGTATATATGTGTGTGTGTATATACCGTATGTATAATATGCATGTATGCCATATATATGGTACACTGTACTATACACAGTATATTTGGTGGAATACTACTCAGCTCTCAAAAAAGAGAAACTCATGTTATTTGTGGCAACATGGATGGAGCTAGAAGGGATTATGCTAACTGAAATAAGCCAGAAGGAGAAAGATAAATAGTGGATGGTTTCACTTATATGTGGAATATATAGAAACCAAACAAAGACAAACTTTAAATCCAGTCCTTAAAAGCTGACTGGAGATCTGAGGCAGCCAGGAGGGAAGTGGGGGGGCAGGAGAATGGGGGCGGAGAACACAGCGGAGGGCGAGCACAGTGGACTATGGTGGAGGGCTGTGGGTGCCTTGGTGGTGGGGGAGGTGGAATTCTCTGTAAGGAAAAAAAGTCCCTACCATATGTCCATAGGCACACAGAATTCCAGTTAGCATCACAGGCTCTTGGGTCTCAGGTTCACCCCACACTCAAAAAGCTTTGGGATACCTCTGACTTCATGCAGAAATTGCTACTCTGACCTTCCTCTCTAACCCCCTGATTTTTCTAATTCCTCAAGTACGTTGCTCGAAGTTGCACTCAACTCCAACTTCTTCCTGTAGCTGCTGCAACCGGGACATGGTTTTCCGTCACTTGAAGTTTTTCCTTTGCCAAGAATCCAAATGCAGTTCCTTCTAGCCACCAACTCCTCCCCCTCTTTTTCCTTTATACTTATTGCAACTTACGCGGGTGCACATCATTGTCTTCATTCCTTTGGCATTGATCTCAACACGGCCCATTTCAAAGCCTGAAATCCACAATGGGACACCCCAGTGTTGCTTTCCTGATGTGAAGCTCTCACGTGTTGCTCTCCTGTCTCAGCGGCCTGCTTTTCCCCAGGTGTTGAGGGCGCTGGGTAAGGTGGCCAAAAAATGCTGACAAGGCCCTTACACATTCAGGTTACCTTAAACTCTCTCTCAGTGCAGTTCACCGACTTTCATTCATTTTTTCCTAATTCCTTATTTCTGTACTGCTCAAGATATTGTCCACAGACCAGCAGTATCAGTATCACCTATGATGCAAAACCTAAGACCCTACCTGGACCTACAGTACCAGTGTACATATGTATATATGTATATATATATATATATATTTTAAAGGGATGGTTTTATTAGGGAAAGGAGAAAGACAAAGAGAGTCACCTGCATGGTCACAGGCAGGCAGGAGAGCTGCCTCATGCCATTGCAGAAATTATACTGATAGAGTGTTCTTCAGTGTGCATTTTAAACACTATTCCCAAGTGAATCATACTCACCTTACCCTGTCTATTCCCCACAAAGGACCACCATTGTGTTCTAAATTTTCTTGATTTCCCCCCATGGATGACTGTATCAGTCAGAGTCCAACCAGGAAAACAGAAAACATGGTGAGGATTTCAAACAAAGGGAATTTAATATGGAAAATTGGTTACACAGGTAATGGAAGAGCAAGGAAGCCAAACAGCGATTAAATAACGCAGGGATTAATAATATGATAGAAGCCTTCACCTCCTGAGGCTGCAGGGACCAGGGGAGGAGGCTCAGAGCCCAGAGATCAGGTATACCAGAAAGACTGGAGCCACAGCAGAACCATCTGGCAGGACACTGACCCTCAAAGAAGATGTGGTTACTGGGAGAGAAAGAGAATTGCCTGCTTTCTCCCATTCTTGCACCTTCTACTCTGCTCTCAGCCACTTCATGTTAAATCCAGCTGGAAGTCAACCCACAGGGAGCCTGGGAAAGCCAGCCTGCCACTCAGAGGGAAGTATAAGAATGCATCTGGAGGCAAACAGACCAAACAAAAGTGACCTTGCTCCTCCACCTTCACCTACACTTCCTTCCTGATGACCTCAAAACATCTGTCTTTAGTAATTTTTTCTTTCTTCCGGTCAATCTCAGAGAAAGGATGTCCTTTGGGTTTCTAAGAAAGAGCTGGTATGAAATGTAAATAAAATGCCTAAAAAGCAGAGAATTCATGGGCTCCCTTTCCCGTTCTGTATGTCTCCAGAATTCCCAGCTCTATTTGTTTCTAGAATTCCAGTTCTATATGTCTCTAGAATCTGAGGAAAGCATCTTTTGGAACCAGGTGCTTCTTATATGAGCATTTGGAATGCAAAGAAATTCCCCAGTAAAGTCTTCTAGGAAAAATGTCTCCTACTCTGAAAAAGGTGCTGATACCTTTCTTGACTTTTATAAGTAGTTATAACACAGTCAAGCTACAGTCAAGCTATTTCTGACATTTAAACTTACTGTGCACTCATTAAAATTAAAATCAACAATGACCTTTCTCAGAAAAAAAATTAAGAGCTGCATATAAATTCATATAATTAACAGATACCAATTAATTATCTTGACACTTTCAGAGTGATAATAGTAGGCCAGGATTTAGAAATGAAAACACCTGTGTTCATAACTGTAAGAACAACTAGGGTATTGGATATATGCAAAAAGGAAAAGGAAAAATCCTTTATCACTCAAAGTTCATAAATCTGGAATCCAGTAACATTACCGGTTTGTCGCGAAATTCATGATAATGAAAAAGGAGCTTGTAAACTCAATTTTCAGAGCTATTTTGATTCAACTCTGCCTATGTCCATTGGATGACTAGGAGAGGTTAAGGACAAAAATTATTTAAATTTGTGAAGTGACCACAGGAGATCATATTTTTGCCCACTTTTTACTAAAACAAAAAATCTCCAATAAAATAAAATAAATAAGGAAATAAAAAGGATGATCTTTCTCCTTGAAAGATCATAAAAAGATGAGGAAATTAGGGCCAATGATAGCAAAGCCTGAAATCATTGTCTCCTTGACAGTGAGGAGTGAGGAGAAATAATCTCACCAGCAACCAAGTCCTTCTGCCTTTAACTGAATTGATTTTCTGACATGGGGGATTCAACTGAGAGCAAACTGCACCCCCACCTGACATGCTGCTCTGCAGAGCCATCCCAATTGTCAAAGTGGAGATGACTGACCTACTTGAGTTCACAGACAGGTGCGTGGAGACCTGGAGCCTGTGACCTGTGGTGTGATGGTCTTGGTGGGGCTGGTCTGAGTCTCGGTAACCCCAGGGCCCAGCCCTGTGCCTGACCCATGGCAGAAACCCACTGTGTGTGGAAGAACTAACTCAAAAGCCAGAAGTCCTCAGTCACCAGCTACTGGTTGTGTGCGAGCGTTCTGAGTCTCGGTCCTAACGTCTATAAAGTAAGGATAATAAATGGCCTCCAATTATTTCACAGTATTATTAAGCGCATATAAGATGAGGTTGTTCTGATAGGCCAAAAAGCTGTTTTTAATCCCCTAAATAAAAAATTTTCACACACTGTTGCTTGCATACACGTTTATTAAGACACAACCAGTGAAATATATCAGCTCCTCCTTTGGAGTACAATCTTCTTTAATGGCCTGTAACAATTCACCCACGGGCTAGATGAACTACATAAATCAAAATCAAATGCCAGATTTTGACACACTCAGTCAAATCAGTTCAGTCCCAAATATCATTTGAAAGTGCAAGAAATCAGGACCTTAATTCACAGCTTTGCTTTTTACTGTTGTTAACATACACACTTTAAATTTAATGCTCATTGTAGAGTCAAATTAAAAAAAAAAAAAAGCACATATCCTAACTTAGCAGAAAGCGGAGCTATCGGTGTGAAGGACAAGGTGATATCAGAATACAGCTGCTTTTCATCCATCCTGGTCTAAATTAGAAGCATGCAGCCCTGCACGGGTCTCTAACAAGGGCACAGGCATCGCAGCCATGCCGAGGCCTAACAGGCGCGGTGCATTTCCACCAGCATCTTCACTTTATTCTGGGTCCTTGTCCTCCTCTGAAAAATGGGGGACTGACTTCTTGGCGACGACATTGTCCAATCTCTGTCCTTGTAGATACGGATTGACGCTCTGTAAGATACACACGGTTTGCTGTTATATCTGAACATCAGATGCAGACAGCTCACAAAAGGGGCAAAGGAGAACTGTATCTTGCATAGGGGGTGAATGACAAGGTGACAGCAGTCCCTACCATCTCCCAGATGATCACTGCTGGGCACCGGGGAATCCCGAAGTGCCTGGAGCAGCGCTGTCTGAGTGACTAACAGATGTGTCTAGGTGTGTCCTTCACAGCTATATAGTTCTTTGTCAAATGCAAATGCCCTCCCCATCTGTGGGTCAGGAGTGAACCAGGTAACAAGCTCCCTCGCTGATTTAGACACGAAGCCTCATGTAAAAGGGAATTCTTATTCTATGGCTTTCTTTAGGTGGGAGGGAGAACTTGAAATGTATTCTAATATTTGATAAGATAAATGTTCTAAAGAAGATGACAGAGCAGGACCAGTAGACTGGTGACAGATCATCCGGGGCTTTGAGGAATTCTCCCGTGCCAGGGTTCTACCAAGGAGACTGCATCAGAGCCGCTAGCCATCATTTCTAAGTTCCCTCAGTCAAAATGAAAAGCTAAAGAAAGAAGCAAGTTACGCAAAAGGCTCCTTTATATTTACTCCAGACTGCAAAGTCTGAAATCTTTTTCATCTGTTGGTATTCTGAATGAGTCAAGATTTTTCCATTCCTTCTCTAATACATATCTATTTTTTGAGGTTTGGATTTGAACTAGTAATCGGAGCTTTACAACATAGTATTTAGCAAGCGGAAAAACATTCAAAAGTCTTGGAAGATATTTGTTTACTGAAGTTGCCTTCCAATAATGAACACAAATATAAGGAGCTGTAGTCACAAACAATCAGCAATCCCCCCGTCTGCTAAGTCCGCTTGAACGAAAGAAGGCAGTTCACAGGGTGTCTGCTGCCCATGAGACATTGTCTGCCATGACTCTTTGGAAGGGTGAACAAATATTTTCCAAAAGAGAAAAAAAACAGAACCTGAGTCTGATATTTGTAAATGCCTTCCGCATTCTGACAGGTAAAAGCATGAATCACGAAAGACCCAAGTCAGTCTACAAAAATGTATCATAACCAAGCTGCAGATGGCTGAGTGTGCCCTGTCCTCACACACCTGGAAAGTGATCTGTGACAAAGAGACAGTCCTTTGTCGGGAAGGCATCTATAAAATAATTAAAATACTTTTTTATTTCACAGGTTGTCAGCTAGAATGACAATCAGCCCAGGAATCACATCAGAATCTTTGGGTAGGTGGAGCAAGTGTGGACTGAAAAAGTATATTCAATATCATCAGTATTTTTATTGTTTTCAGTAATAACACGTAGTCTGAAATTTCTATTAAAAGCCATACGATTTTCATGTTTATCAAATACAGAATAAAAGGTTGATAAACTGTTTAAATGATAAATAGCAGATCTCAAACATTAACAAGGTGTATCTTAAAAGCTCCAAGGTCTGCAAGTTATTTAAAGGTGAATTGACCTTCTACTCATGTAGCAACTAGGAATTTAATTGGATTTGAGCAAGTATAGAAAGTCACGTAAAACCATCTGGGGCTTAGTTATAACTTTGGGGGGAATCCCTCTTGCTAAGGATTTACCAAGAAAGTCCAGACCCAGAAATGCCAAAGGTTGAAGGGGAGGGGAGTAAATTTATGAGGAAGTAAAGGGGATGATCACTTGAACTTTGATAAATATTTAACTGTTAGTATTCAACCCTATCCTCAAGAATAATAATAATCATGATACTTGGTTTTAAATACCCTCTGAAGAACTTAAGGCACTTGCACATTTATCTCTTCCTTTGGCCGAGAGACTGCTTAGGTTACACAGATGCCACAATTCTCATTTCACAACTTCAAGAACCTTTGGGGTGGGATCCCTGCTTTTCATGACCTCTGACAACTCACAGCTGATACTGAGCTCCAATGGAGAAAGCCTTGATTTTTCACAAAAGCAAGCCCATAATTTCCTTATATTGGTTCATGCACTTGAGACTGGTTAAAGTCATCCATCAAAATGAGAACACTATCTGAGACCTGATAATAAAGGAGGTGATTTCTGTTTCCTCATCAGTCCGGAGAGACCCATGATTTACAAAAGGGGCATAGGTCTTTGTAGATGCAGAAAAGAGCAAGAATTTGCTACCTCTTGGTCAAAGTGACCACTGTTTTCAGAAATCCTAAATCTTTTCTGTGTGTAGGAAGTTGAGGGTAAAGTAAAATCCTTTATAACGTGTGTCCTAGCCAGAATTCTGAGTTTTGGTAATCAGTTTTCTCATGGAAAAATGATCTAAAATGTGACCCACAGCCATGAGCCAAGTTAGGGCAGAAGACAGGGTGAGCCAGGAAATAGAGACAGTTAAAGCTTCATGCTAAGTTGTTTATTTGGAGTCAGTCACTGATCTTACTTGGCAATGCCCTTGTTGTGCCATAGGTACCTATTCAAGGCATCTGCTTCTAGAATAGAATTCTTGATGGTCCTTCAAAGACCATGTTATATCCTTGGGGTCCTTCCTACCAACCACCTGACATCAGAAAACAGAATCACTCAAGAAAAAACCCTATTAATTTCACTAGCCTTCCCAAAGAAGTTCTACATCCATATAGCCAAACATCTTTTCCCACAGAAAATTGACCTGAGGTTTTTTTGTCAGGCAGCACAGAGGCCTGGCATTCTCTGTTGGGTGGGGGGTCTGATAATGGATGCCAAGTGCAGAAAATCCACAGCTCTTAAAGTACTTTCTGCCAAGATTTGGTAAAATTATTGAGAATGGTGAGAATTGCCACTGTACACTTCCCCAAATTTTGCCAGGACCTAGCCACTTCCTAGTTTAAATAAACAGTAAATGGCCTTGCATATATGGTTTGGTTTGTGTATTTTAACTAAAATGGTTACTCTCTGGCAGCACTTTGCCCTGCAACAGCAGGATTTTAACTTTTCCTTCCATCTGTTCAGAAGCAGATGGCAAGAGGCTGGGCACTCCTCTGGAGGAAGGCACCGTGGAACAGCGGAATGGATATCGACCATCAGTCAGTCTGGGCCACAAAATGCATTGGAAAACCCAAGCAAATTCGACACTCACCTTTACCTGAGGCAGCCTATAGTGACTAAAGGGGATGCTCCCCAAACGGTCCTCCCCGCCCCCCAAAACCATCACCACAGCCCTAGGATGGTAAGTGAGTTGGTAGCAGATTTGTAAATCAGCAAATATAATGGATCAAGTGGATTTTATGTCAATCTGGCTAATCAAGAAAAAATATGTAGGAGGACTGAGGTTCATCCCATCCTTTGCCCCTCCTCTGCTTTAAAGTTACTGCCTGGAGCATGCTGTTCCCACATCCTTGTCCCTCTCTTGTATTTTTATGGAATTGAAGCAGATGCGGGAAGAGTTTCCCCCAGTGGCCTCCAGACCCTCGGCAGACATACCCTCACGCACAGCCCCGAACTCCCACACCCAGGGGAGGGGATGCAAAGAGATGCTGGCATCGCCACAAGCCTGGCATTCCACTGGAAATCACATGCAAAAGCAGGGGGAGGCCGTGGCAGGCACCAGGATGCACTTTGTGGGCGTGGCCCTCGTCACGCAGGACCACTGCTCTGCCCCACCCCGGGACGGCCTGTGAAGGGTTCTGCTACTTTCCAACACGTGACGGTTACAGCTTGTCAACTGTCTGACTCAGAGAGCTCCAGGCCTCCCCACGGCCCGGCCAGCCGCACATTACCCTCCGCTTGCGTCTCTGTCCCGCCTTCATCTTCTCATAAAGGAGCTTCTTGTTCTAGATGGGGAGGGGAGAAAACACAAAGGCAGAAGGTATGGATCAAATTTGGCAAACGTCGATTTTTAAAAGCAACACTCGGCGCGTCCCCTGGATATTTGCATACACATATTTTGGAAACAAAACCAGATGAAAGGAATGTCGTGTCAGAGAGATAGACCGCAAGAGAGAAGCTGGTGGTTGTGCAGCTTTTAATAAAGTTCTCTGCAGCGCCCGAGGCCCAGCAGTGTCATCGACAATCACATAAACAGGAAAGCACGACATTCTCAGACACGAGGGGCGCTGGAAACCCGTCTCCCGGCTTTGAACGGCCTTTGTTTAAAATAAACAATTTTATCTCATTTTGCTTTTGGCTCTAATTCCCTTTTTATGAGCTGCACCCATGAGCTGTTCTCTAGAGCGGTGTGGACGGTTGAAAACAATCCTCTATGTAAATAAATGGGACGCTGTGACTTCTGCAACCTCTCCTCCTGGGGCTCCAGGCAGTGCCCCCCAGTCAAGACAATCGGAAAGCCATTTGGTCTATAACATTTTTAATAGAGTGAACCTTTTAAAAACTGCCAAAAAACTTCTTGGCAGAAAGAAAGTTATGTTGGGGGAAGAAACGGGCTCGGTTACCACAGTTTGTATAAGTGTTTCCACACATTGCAGGATTTCAAACACATAGTGGACTTAAATGAGCTCTAGAATATCGGGACACATGCTGAACACATTTCCCTTCTACTGGGATTATAAAAGACAGAACACTTAACCTGAAGGCAGAATGGGAGATGGGGGGTCGGGGGGTGGGGCTTTTACTAGTGTGTTTTTTTAATTTGATTTTTTAATCAGAAGGGAAATCATGTATAAAAGAGGTGATTCATCTTACTCTAAATAAAAGACTCTGACATTGATTTTTTTTTTTTTTAAAAAAAACGAGACGACAGAGTTCTGGTAAGGTTTATACCACACTTGTATCCTCTGAGCTGTCTGGATATAAAGATTTTTTTGTTTTTTAATGCTAGATTTGGAAATGAAAATGACAAATGCCAAGAGCGAGTTTCATAATTTTCATGTTCATTAAAATCTACCCCACTGCAATTTACAATGCATATCTCTTGCCCAACCTCAACTATGCAGGGAGGCCGCGCCAGGGAGCGAAGCAGCCTCCACTGCCCGAAGAGACTCTGCAGCCTCCGCCCCCTGCTCACGTGGGGAACCGATCAATTTAATATTAGAAGGGAGAAAAGGCAGATGCACAGATCATTCCCTCGAGGAATGAGGATATGGCTGTGAGCCTCGTTCCTGTTGTCTGCAGTTCCTGTCAGTGGACATGACCACTCCTGACGCACAGAGAATGTCTTGGGAGATAGTGCCAGAGCTGGGGAAGGGGGCGGGGGAAGAGCTCCATCGAGTTCAGCTGCCTGAGCAGGAGGGAGCTAGAAGGCCCCCATGGCTGGTACGGCGGGTGGGGAGGGCAGGTGGATGTGGGACAAATGGCAGAGCCCCCTCTGTGCCACCAGCAGGGGACAGGTAGCCCCGTGTTAGCTTGTGTTTAGAGGCTCCTGGGGCAGATGACACCCAGAGGAGCCTTTACTCCAAAGGAAATGCAAACGGTCTGGTAAGTCTTCCTCTCAGAGAGACTCCTTGTGTTCCCCTGAGAGCTGAAGTTGGGCCGAGCAGGAGGATGCCTCCCCACCCCTGCAAGAAAGTGTTGAGGCATTCCCATGAGCCCTGCTATTGTATAAATGGAGAGGCCAGGATTGACAGGTACGAGAAGCACACAGCCAGCCCCTCTCCTGACATCCAGTCCTTGTTGGTGGAATGGAGGTGGGAGAGGAGGGAGCTTTGCTTTCCGTGTGAGTAGCAGGTCCAAGTTCATAAAAAGGACTTTCTATTGTGCCATCAAGACTTTTGCAGCTATCCAAATTTGGTTGGAAATTCCATCCCTAAATGGAACGAGAGAGATTTCTTGGAGAAATGTCTGACTGCAGGGCTAAAGCATGGAAAATACAGGATGAATTTAGTGGGAAATCTGATTGGGCCAGAAAGGAAGGAAATGCTCAGAGACAGAACATGTGAAGAGGAAAGAAAAGCCAGCTCGTGGAGACTACTACTGGCTAAATCTAGGACAGTTTAAGCCTCAAAATAAATAGTGACAGGGACCAATCACTCCATACTGCTAATAAACAAACAAAAATTTAATAAAAACAAACAAAAAACAAAATATGGGAGCAAAGGAAACTTGCTTGCTTGGTATAGAATACCAACCAATAAATCCAGAGAGACGACTAGGAAAATAACATTACCATCCTGCAACTACCATAATTATGCTTGACTCTGGTGATGACACTAAAATTGTTGGGTAAAAATTTAATGGGGACAGAATAGTTACACAGTCCTACAGAAGCTCCCCATGGGTAAATAATTAATTTCAAAGGCATGGCAATTTCGCTCTGGAGAAACATGGCAGATGCCACTTTAACTGAGTTACCACCCATCTGGGGACAGGCTGGCATCCTGTGCCTCGTGATGTGAAACTCTAAGAAGTAGAGTTTCTTAGAGGGCATGACTCAAGCCCAGTCCCATGAAAACATGAGACAGACCCAACCTGAAGAGCCCTGGACTCCAGACATGCCAAGGGCAGGGAAGACAAAGCAGCAAATGCTCCTTTCTCCCATTTATCTCAGAGCTCAGGGTCTGGCCAATGTCAGCGGCTTCGGCCTAATGACAGCCTCTCATCACCCAAGGTGCTGATGAAAAGACATGAACCCAGCACTTGGAAAAGGAAAAACATTTGTTTTTTGACATGACTTTTCCCTTAGTGAGCAGCACTGAGCAGATATCACGTGAAGGACAAGAGAGATGTCAACAGTAGCCAGCCTCTGCTTACAGCTGGAGGTGCTCATGCGGCCTGGAAGGCAATCAGTCTGCTCAGCCCTGCTGCCCAGGACATGTTACGAGCGATGAGACACAAAAAAGAAAATGAATTTATCTGGTTTTTAAAAGAGCTCTGGAGTCAGTCTGAATCAAGTCTCAGCTCTGCCACCCATCAGCTCTGAGCTATCAGGCAGGCTGCTCAGGGTATCAGCCTACTCGGATTTCCTAAGCCTATCTTCTCATCTGTAAAATGAGATGGGCAGATTGAAAGAGAGAATTCATGTAAAGTATTGACCATAGTTCTTGGCACCTAGTGCATGTTCAATAAATATTACTAGTTATTAGTGTATGATAAAATATAATTACTGTGATTATTCATCTTTGTATTCCCATCATGGAACACAGGGCCTGGAAGGTATATGATGCATTTAATAAGTGTCTTGATGCATTAACAAAGAGAAGAAATTCAGGAAATGGGACAGACAGTGATATTTATAAGAGGTGAATCATTACTAAAGAACCAGCTTAGCTCCAGCAAATGTCAAATACAGGGAAGCATTATTAGCAAATATGAAATCAGAGTCTGGGGTGCATTTCTATTCTAAAGATGACATTTTTAACTTAGAGGATGGCAGAACTTATCACGAGATTGAGACCATCATTTTATATAAACACTGAGCAAGGCATGCAGACCCCAGCCCAGAAAAGCAAGACCGACTCATTTCACACATCGATATGAAGATTGAGCAAATCATGTTTTAACTGCTAGGTGGTAATGAGAAAATAAATGGAGGAAATTTAAGTTTAAACCAACATGATTACGGAAGAGAAAAGGTGTATGAACATTGTTCCTGGCCAACGATCTGTCCTAGAACCCGTTTTTGTACATATCATCCTAATTTCGGGTCTAGCTCTGATGTAGACAAAGAATGGGAATGACTAAGAAAAAACAAATCAGTATTAAGAGAAGGAAGCGAAGAGAATGAAAAATGGTGGCTGGACTCTTACTGGAATACTGGAAATGAGTGGAACTTGGTGAGAGGATGTAAGTGAGAAGAAGTGAGGGAAGCTGGAAAGAACAAAGTTTCCATCTCTCCTGCTTCTTCCACTAGGTTCTCTGCACTGTGACTCGGGTCTTTTTTAGTGCCCCTCTTGCTTCTTTTTGTTTATTTCTGCCCCACCGGTTATGCTTGACACATTCTCACATTAGACTTAGGAGTTGTCTTTACACCCTTCAATGTCCTTGAAATTGCACTTATGCTCACAGCATAACTAGAAGGTGAAACTGAATGGTGCAAAGCTGAGTTCATTTAATTTCCATGCAATTCACCTCAACCCCAAGACTATAAGGTCTTTGAAGACCAACACCATGTCTTTTTAAAAAAATTTTAAATATATATTTATTACATCGTTCTTCATTTTTGTACAATGTATGATTCCCGTGAAATTCCCACCACCAATTCACCGGCAGGCAGCACCATGTCTTCATGATGATCATATATTGAGCACCTCGCACAGTGCCCCAAAGAAGTGTCCTCTTGCTATATTTACACCATAAGCCAACTCTAGTCAATTCTGCTCCCTTTGACATCATGTTGGTGAGATTCACTTGAATTCAGTAAGTGCACAGCCTTCATAACTGGAATATGTTTCCCTACCTTTGGTCTCTTCTATCTCTATTTCGTGCTTAGTATGCCATCGGAAAAACTTAACTTATAGAGAATGTCCATGACTTTTGACTACTCTTGAGAACCTGTTGATGTTTGCCTGTTTAGGGCAACATATTTAAACTCTACTAGCAGGCTCTAAAAAGACTCAATGAACTAATTTTAACAAAACTTCTCATGAAAAGGAAGAGAGAAATAGAATGATGCATGTTGGAAGACACAAAACTAACTTAGAGGGTTTTGTTGCTTTGTGTTTTAAGATGGAAAAACGTATGCATGTTGAAGGCAGAGGGAACCATTGAATGTGATTTTTAAAAAAGATTTATTTATTTATTTATACAAGAACAGGGGTACAGACCAGATGTGTGGGAGGGTGAGAGGATTTACCAGAGACAGAGTTGGGAGCAGAACAGGCGGACTGACTGAAATACACTGCTGAGGGGAGCAGCGGGTGAGACAGGAGAGGTCTGCTGCGCCATGTGAGACCCTCACTGGCCCTCCAGGATTGAACCAGCGCTGCAGAGGCTGCGGACAGCTTCACAGTGTGGCGCTCAACCGCCTGCGCCACCAGGGGAGGCCCTGAATGTGATCTTAAGGCAACATGATGGAAAACAAAAGTGGTCACAAACAGAGAGGGGCATCTTTCTCAAGCAATGCAAGAGGAAGGGAGGGGGTTTCACTAAGGCAGGAAGCAAAGTCAGCTGCCAGGAATGAGCTGAAAGGGAATGACAGCTTTAAAAGGACTCACGCAGTTAGGAATAGCAGCTCTTTCACTCATACATGCACTCATTCCACAGATGAACCGACCGCCTACTTACATGTGAATTATATATGTGAATGCTCCTTAGGATTTTTCCATCTTTCTCACAAGGCTTCAGCATTTGATTACATGGACCCACCCCCAGGAACATAGATAAATCCCCATTCAGTTGTGATATTCGTTTGACTCATTGTTCCCACCTATTGGGATCTTCTTGAATCCCAACTCTGTCATTCATTGCTATTCCTTCCAACTGTGCGTCATCCTTTGAGAATCTGATAAGTATATGTTCTATATTTTTTATTACAAACATTCTGTAAATGTTTGTAATAATGTGGCATGGGGCAGCGCTAAGACATGCAGGATGCCATGTGAAATCTCCCTTCTTATTGGCACGAACTCTAACAAGCTTCCTTTGGGTGATGTCCTCTTGCCCAAGCAGTATCTCTCCACCCCTTCCAACAAGAGTTCATGAAAGATCTTGTCAAATAACTTGCTCAAGTCCAACTGCACCATGCTCAATTCATTTCCCTCATCGAGCTGGCAAGTCAGTGAATAATGCTGGCGAGTAGAATACAATTAGATTGACAAAACTTGTTTTTAGCAAACCTGTGCCAAACGGCCATGATTCCTTTTTCCAAGTGCTTATAAACAAATTCCTCAATTGACAGTTACAGACACTTGCCTGGTATTGACAGCAAGTTCACTGCTAAACATTTTGGAATTTTTCTTTTCTTTCCCTACAGAGGAACTACATTTGTTTGTTTCTAAGCTTCTGGCAGCTTTTCTCCTTGGAGCTACAGAGCGAATCTCCCTCCCTCTAGAGATAAAAGCTGCAAATTTTCTCAGAATCTTTATCTTAAAAAGAAATCATTTACTTTCTGTAAGAGCTGCATGAAACACTGGTGAGATGTTAGCATGTGGTATGACGCAGCAATGGAATAGACTGCAGCAGAAGCCTCTAGAGACCACAGCTGATGGATGCCAGTCATCATGGCTCCTGTATAACTTGGTATATTGCACCTGAGACACATGAGTTTGGTTTGGAATGGTAATTAAGTAAAGTCTGTCTCAAACAGAAATTTCTGAAGAATCACCTCTAGACAATGTTTCTTCCCTTCCCCCACCTTCTCTGCTTTCAGTTCCTTCAGAGCACCAGAGTAGGAAACCTACTGGTAATTAGGATTGGACTTACCCATTTGCCTAAGCCTGGATAGTCATGTTCTGGATCAAAAAGGTGCTGGTGCAACTGGAATTCTCGACTGAACTCTGCGGTGTCAGGGGTGTTTTCTAGACATCCATCATCTACTGCAAACAGCAAAAAGTTTTTCAGGAACGGTCAAGAAGTTTACCATTATTCTAAAAGTTCATTTATTAAACAGAACTGGACATTCACAGATCAGAATCTACTCATGTCAGTCACTCCAAATCACCGTCCCTGGGGTCAAGTCTCCCTGTTGGGTGGGACTGCTCATCCAAGACTCTCAATCCTCCTTCTGCCTGCAATAGAGACTGCGTGGCAATTCACCACACCTAGGTCACTTTTCCCCTCAGCACACTGCGAGTTTCCCAATCTTGTTTTGCAATCAAGTGGAGTCATATGCCTGAGTTTGGCATTTGAAATGGAACGTGCACAAAAGCGATGTATTCTACTTCCAGTCATGGCCTATAGAACCTCCCATAGGATCTTCTACCCCTTCCCTTCCCACAGACCATCTGCTGGTGGGCTTGAGACATATCGCCAACAGGGACAACTGTGGATGTCAAGTGCAAAGATGAAAGATGGCAAGTCTAGGTGTCTGAATCACCCACCCCTATGACACCCCTGCCCCACTTCTCTTGTGATGTCACTGTAATTTTTGATCTGATATCTTTAACGCTTACATTCTACATCATTCATTCTGTTCCCTCTTGGGTGAGCGCTACAGAAACCCTTTCAACTTTGTGGATTGTTGTTATACAAGAACAACCATCACTAGGCACTACTCGATTGTGTGTGTTTGTAGTAACTGAGTCAGACAGACTAGAGCCTGAGGATCAAATTCCAGTTCATAAGTGACAGATAGGTTTAGTTCCTTGGGAGAGTTAACCTTAGTCTTTCTAAGTCCATGTGTTCATCTATGACATTGGGAACAAGCGCTTACCTTACTGCGTTGCAATGAGGACTAGAGATGACCATATATAGAGCGTCTGGGACATAATAGGTTTGTTCTATGCTTTAGTTCCCTCCCCACCATCTCATCAGATGACAGTTTATACTCTGACTGCTCTGACATAAAGTGTGTCTTTCATTTAAATCCAAGAAAGGTTATCCCTCTTGGCTGCTGCTCTTACCTAAGCCTTATCATTGCTAGACAAAATGCTTGGAAAATGAGTCATTTTTAACGTCGCTAATGTGCTTTAGACAACAGTTTACAAAGGGGGTCCAGGGGAAGGATTGTGAATTTTGGGCAGGGCTAAGTGAATGAAAGAGTCCATTTCTAAAAGGATTACGAGGCATCAAAGTCAATGCTGATGGGTTATCTAGTCTCTCTGCGCTAAAGCCTTCCAGGGGCTATGAGTATCCAGTTTCCCAGCTCTTAGCCACATGAGGCTAGTGAGGAAACCATCAGCATTTAGAACAAATCCCTAATGTGTCTCTCTTCCCACTTTTCACTGAACTGTTCATCTAACTTCATCAACAGCAATTAAAATGTTGCAAAAGACAATCAGAGAGTTCAGGCGATTTGCATATGGTACTTTACATCCTTTCGTAATTACTCCTCATGGTCCTCTGAGTAGGACAGACTGACCTGTAGCCATAAAGCCCTGCTCTGGGAAGTTTCACAGAGACTGAAAACACACCCTGGAATTCGCATCGCATGCCAGAGGATGGACTCTTTAAGTACCGCTGCGTCTTGTGACACAGAGGGGAGCACCAGCATCGGGGTGTGGGGATCCAAGGGTTTACTCTTGGATTGCCCAACAGTGAGGAGTTATGATTGACAGAGAGGCATATTTCAAGCAATTTCATATAAGTAATAACTAAACTTAACAAGTGATTTCCTTTCTAGAATGCAAATTGTGGTAGAAAAAAGAATGAGAAATATGTTAATGTAATGGAAAGAGCACAGGAAGCAACAGCTAGTCTGTGGCAAGTTTGGGGTGTTGGGGTTTTTTGGAAAGATTTATTTTATTTATACAAGAACTGGGGTACGGACCAGAGGTGCGGGAGGGTGAGAGAATTCACCAGAGACAGAGCAGGGAGCAAAACAGGCAGACGGACCAAAGACACTGCTGAGGGGAGCAGCGGGAATGACAGGAGAGGTCTGCCGCACCATGTGGGTATCTCCCTGGCCAGCTGGGAACTGAACCCACACTGCAGAGGCTGTGGACAGCTTCACAGCGCTGTGCTCAACCCACTGAGCCACCGGGGAGGCCCTGGGGTGTTGGGTTTTTATCCAGCTCTACCAGGCCATGTAACTGCTCTTAGCTCAGAGCTTCTAAGTGCACAAAACCAGTGTTGCTTACAGAGCTGTATTTTTCTTTTTTCAGGATAACCAAGAACTACAAAGCACTGACTGTGTCTTCATTCCACAAATGAAAACATGGAGGCCCAGGAAATAAAGTGATATACTGTAGTTAAGACCAGAACTCAGATCTTTACCCAAACTCAGATTCTCTTCCCACTCTCCTGTAATGATGGGTCCTTAAACCCTAGTATGTACCAGAATCACATGGAAGGCTGGGTCCTCCTCTTTCCCACCTAGATTTTTTGATTTAACAGATCTGGGATAGGTTCTGAAAATTTGGATTTTCAACATGTTTCCAGGTAATGCTAAGGTTGCTGGTCCTGACACCACACTTTAATAACCACTACATGATACTTTATCTAATCATTTTAACCAAATCCCTATGGAGATGATTGTTCTTTAAATAGACAAATCTCTAAATAGGCTCATGGAGGAAAAAAAAGAAAACCAGGAAACCTCAAAGAGAATCAGGAATGGAGAAGAACTTAAAAAACGTAAAACACGCTTCTCAGAAATACAGAGCATCATGAGACTACTATGAACAGCTTTATGCCAATAAATTAGATAGTCTAACAATAAGATACCCCACCAAATGGGAGAAAATGTTTGTACACTATACATCAGCAGCTAATATCCAAAATCTACAAAGAACTCATAGAAATCAACAAAAGAACAAAAAAGTCTATCAAAAATGGGCAGAAGAGCTAAATAGACACGTCTCCAAAGAAGATATGCCAACAGCATATGAAAATATGCTTATTTTCAGGGAAATGCAAATCAAAACTGTAATGACTATTACCTCACACATATGAGAATGGCCCATATCAAAAAGACCAAAAACAACAAATATTGCTAGGATATTGGCGAAAAAGGAGCCTCATACGATGTTGGGGGAAAAGTAGACTGGTCTAACCACAATGGAAAACAGTGTGGAGCTTTATTAAAATATTAAAAATGTATCTACCATAAGATCCAGCAATTCCACTCCTAGGTATCTACCCAAAGAATATAAAAATACTAACTTGAAGAGACATGCACACTCCTATGTTCACTGGAGCACTATTTACAATTGTGGAAACAACCGAAGTGCCCAACAAAGGGTGAGTGGGTTAAAATGTGATATATGTATGTACACAATGAAATACTACTTAGCTATTAAAAAGATAATCCAGACATTTATGACACCATGGAACTGGAAGGGACTCAGCTAAGAATATAAGTCAGAAGGAGAAAGACAAGTACAGAATGATTTCATTCACAGGTGGACTACTGAGAAGTAAAACAAAGGAACAGACCAAACCAAGCTGACTGTAGAATAAGGATTACAGAGAGAATGGGGGGAGTGGGGAGCAGAGTAGGTAGAGCTCATTTGATCTATGGTGGAGGACTCTGGGTGCCTGGGCGGTGGCTGTGATGTAGTGACATACACCTGAAAATGTGCAAGCCTATATACCTCAGAATCAAATACACTGTTGTAAACAAATATTCCCTCAATTAAAAAAAATACAATATTAAAAAATAACAACTCTAAACTGGTCTTTCTTCCTATCCATCCAAAGCTCTACAAGTAAATAAAATGTAGCTGAAGTGATTGGCTCTGCGTAGTGATTCAGGCATTCCTGCAGCCCTGGGCCAACATCCCCACACTAGCTTGGCCATATCCAACTATCTGGGTGGTTCCATCCCAGGATGAAGGCTCTGTGCCCCATGGAAAACAGAGACCTCACCCTAAGGAGGGATATCTTTTAGAGAGTGCCTGCATTGTGTTTAAGAAAAGCTGAGGGACCAATACTGTCACAATTTTCAGAGCAAAACAGTGAGTCATGATGGTTGAGCACACCGTTCTGAATCAGCTAGAACTGGGCTTGCATCCTGGTTCAACTACCTACCCATGGATCACCTTGGAAAGTTACTCTCTAAAGCTTCAGTTTCTGTACATGGAAAATTGAAATAATAAATGGCGACTTTTATTATAATTAAGCGAGGAGAAAAAGATTACTCCGGTACTAGAAGTTAGCACAAGTTCAATGCGACATGCATTATTTATTGGTGGCAAAGCTGATTATAAGCAGGATGACGTTTAATGAGTTTTACTCTCTGCTTTCACTTAATTCCCAAAACAACCTCCATTTTGCAGATGAGTTAACTGAGATGCAAAGTGGTGGATTAACCAAGGACAAATATCTTGACCTTGGGCTTGAATTCACATAGGAGAGTTTAGAGCCACTTCTAACCACCAAAGTTAAACTGCTCCAAGCCCAATGTAAGCTCAGCCCACTGGCCACTTCCTCCCTTCAGCATTAAGGGGTAGGAAATTGGGGGGGAAGCACAAGTGCCAAGGAAAGTTTCACCTTTCTTCTTAAACCAACTTTTTACCTTACTGGGCGCCCTTTCTCTCATGCCACCTCTTACCTCCCAGAGAAATATCTCACAGTTAAAATGTCGATTGTCAAGGGTAGTGAGGAGAGCAATTGGACATGAATGATTGCAAACTAAATAACCAGTTTTAAAGACACTAAAAACGGACAGTATTCCACCATAAAAGAGGAAAAAAATCATTCTCCCTTTTTATTAGAGGAGTAGCTAAGTGCAGAAAAGAGCACCAATTTCTAAAGAGGGGGAGAGACAGAAGGTAAATTCTTAGCCAGGTAATCTCAGCTGGGTATTCCTGAATAGCAGAATTCACCTGAGGATTTAGATAAATACCCCTTTCCAATCTATCTACAAATATGTAGGGGTTCCTCAGAATAGAAGCACTACTTCTCAGAGTACTCAGAGTATCTGGAGCGGATGGTAGAGTTTTTACTTCCCTCCTAAAGTCTCTACGGTTTACAGGAAGCCAAGGGTGTGTCTGTTACCTGTTTTTCCAATGGGACAGGGGTTTGGAGGGTCTGGGTAGCCCTGATCTTCACTGAAGTCCTTAGGGATGTTGTCACCGGTCAACTCTGCTACGATGTTTGGGATGTTGCCAAAAGGACCCAAGTGCTGCAGACCTTCATGAGCTCCACCTGCCAAGGAAGAGGGAGTGCATTTCAGGGCAATCAAATTTATTACAACTGATAGATACTCAGGCACACCATAGAGGCAGAGCACCGCGCTATGCTGTTGGAGGGAAAAAGAAATCAACAGTTCCTGCCCTGCAGGGGCTTAAAAAATCAGTCACGGGAGCAGACATCACAATCATTTCCACCTGAATCACATTATATAGGCGCTGTCAGAGAATTGTTCATACAGCATTATAGAAGCATAGAAAAGGGAGAGTCTTCTTCCACTGATGGATGTGCAGGGCTTCTGAGATGAGTAGGAACTTGAGTGGTCTTGACACAGATGGTTTGGGCTTGGGAGACTGGGTGGGGAACCTGAGGGCGGTGGGGGGGTGGGGGGTGGGGTGATGGGAGAAAGGCAAGCAGTTGTCATTTAGGTATGAGAATAGCATAAATGATAACAACAACCCCTCAAAAAGTAGATTAAAAAGTCACTTGTTCTGGCCATGCTAGATCAACCACTAAAAATTTGGTTTTGCTACATCAATCTTTCTCCCTCTGCCTATCTTTTTATAAATAAATGTTTATTCATTTTCCACTTAATATTAAAGCACAAGCACTTTTCCCATGTGGCTGTCTGCTTTTTATTCTCATAATTACAAATGGTTATGTAGTTTTTATCCAGTGAATCTACCACAACATATTAATTATACCCCCATTGTGGAATACTTAGTGTTCCCCAATTTACTCATAGGCATTTAATTTTTTCCATATTTTGGATTTTCGTCAGGATAGATTCCCAGAAGTCAAATTACTGGGTCAAAGGCTACAAATATTTTTATGACTCTTTAAATTATATTGCCAAACTGCTCTCCAAAAAGGAGGTAACAATTTATACAGAATCGTCAACAAAATATGAGAATACCCTTTTGACAAGATCCTTACTAGCATAAAAAATAAATTTTTATGTTTTCTTTGCTGTTTAAAATACTTTTAGAAAAGTTACTTTATTGTGAATGTCTGATGACCAGCTCAAATATTTTCCCATGTGCTTAATAGTTTTACTTTTTGTGAGTTGCCTGTTTATGTTCTTGAAACTTTAGTGCTTCTCTTACCGACTTGCATGAACATTTTCATAATAAAAATATCAGGCCTTGGGCTGTCACATTTCTGCAACATTTGCCCATGTTGTCTGTCTTTTAATTCTGGTTTGTTTGTTCTTGTTAACATCAGCTTTTAATATTTATGTAGTAAGATTTGTTTCTGTTAGTCTCCTTTGTGATTTCTTCTCATCCTTCTAAACTTACAAAGTTGTCCTTTCAGAAGTAGCACCAACACTTGGTCATTTCTTGTAGATTTTCTATTTTAAAAATTAACTCTTTTATCTATATGCTGTTTTAGTGCATGTAAAATAGCTAACCAATTATCCCACCCACATGTTAAATAGTTCTGATCTTCTCCACTTATTTTATTCTTTTTGTTTTTAAGATTTATTTATTCATTTATACAAGCACTGGGTACAGTCAGAAGCGCAGGAGGGTGAGAGGATTCACCAGAGCCAGAGCGGGGAGCAGAGCAGGCAGCAGAGCAGGCAGAAGGACCGAAGACACTGCTGAGGGGAGCAGCGGGCGGCAGGAGAGGTCTGTGCGCCATATGGGAGTCTCGCCGATGGCTGGGGATTGTACTGGCCCTGCAGAGGCTGCAGGCAGCTTCGCAGCCCAGCGCTCAACCGCTGCGCCAATGGGGAGGCCCTTATTTTATTTAAATATTTTATTTCAATTTTATTCAAATATTTCAACAAATATTTAAGTGACCCACACGTGCCAAAAACCTGCTCTGAGTACCAGGTACAGCAGTGGATAAGAGCATCTTACTGTGTACTTGCTTCACTTATGGATACAATACATACTGCTTTCTAGATTCGTCCTCTTCTTATACCCTAAATATCCTAGAAGGTTCAGAAACTTTACTTTTCCAGACTACCTTTCCAAAACTACAGTGGACCACTTCTTGCAATGAATTCCCACTTACTAACTTTCTTGGGACACATGCTCCCTTAATGCACATCACCCTGTTCAGACCGAGTGCCAAGCCAAAGTCAAGGGGTGCCTGGCTGGGTTGCATGAAATTAAAATCAAAATCAGGCTAAAACAACCACACTTCCACTGCCACGAGAAGATGGTCTTGCCAATAGGGCATATTAAAGCTCAGCAGGATAGGATTCCCTTATGCCCTGAAGGAGATCTACCAAGGGGTCTCTCACAATTGTTTGTTTGTTTGTAGTTATTTTTTTTCTTCTCTGGCTGAACAATTTTCCCCTTTGAACTGACACATTTTTTTTTCCTTTGGAAATGTTAATATACTCAGCGTGATCATGGCTAGATCTTAGTGTCTGCGAATCCTATTTTCTCTGAGGTGACTTTGCATCACTGTCTTCATTTAAAATGCTTAATTAAAGTTTATTCTAAAAGTATGATCTTACCCTCTTTAATTCTAAATTTTGCTAGCCTCCAAATGGAGACGCCACCAAGCAACTGGTTTACATTTATGTAAAATTTCATTGTTTGTAATGAGAGCAAGTAGTCTGCAAATTTTCTGCATTAAAGGAAAGGTATTCATTTTATAAATTTTCCATGTGAATATTTAAAATAAGATTTACTTTTATATAACCCATAAACATCTAAACATAGCCAATTATTTGACACTCAATTTTATTCTTTTATGTCCCTATTCACATTTTATGCTTGTCCTATCATAATACTCTCATTGCTACACGTTAAAATCTATTAATATTACAATCAATCTCTATCACTGTCATCTCTATTACTGTCAACCTCTTCCATCTCTTGCTGGTTTTTTGCTTTAACATTTTGATGTTATGCTAATTGGCAGGCCCAAGAGTATAAATTCTTTATTTGTGTTACTTGGTGGTAAAGTAACAAATTAATTGACTAATCATATTTTGATTTATATTTCTTCTGATAGTACTGCTACTCTCATTTGTTGTTTTTTGCTTTGGTAAATCTTTGACCATCCTTTGATTTTAGCTTTTCTGTATATTTCTGATGATTAGTCTAATCTGCACTGTGATGGCTGCCTACAGAGACATTTAGGGAACCCATATTTATTATTACGCACTAACCCAGGACCTGCAAAAGGCTAAAAAGACAGATCAATAGGCTTGGTATTGATACATCTGAAGCTTTGCACAATCTTGGCACTAGAGCCACCACAGTGTTTGCTATAGGGCACGCTCTCTGTTGTGTCAATACATGTCTCAACTTTTGAAAGCACCCTGGCTTGAGTGCCAGGAATTATCCAACTTGGCTTAGGGGAGAATGCATGTCTTAATGCTCCATTAGTAATTAATGAAGGAAGCAAACACAGTTTCCTTTATGAAAGGCCTGCCAGGGCTCTGTTTACCTCTGTGCACCAGGGCCATTAAAATGAATGCAGCACTTGTTAGGAGCAACAGATGTTTAGCACCAGGCAGATACATTATAACACAGGCTCTTTTAAGCTACATTTAATGACATCAAATCAAGAAACACTCACTGAGGCAGAAACCGTGGGAGATAGGTGAAAGTAAAAAATGCTATCTTTTGCTCTCCAGGAGCTTGAATTTTATAGACAAGAAAAGTAAGAAAGTATAGCAAATATTTGCAAAGTGATATATCTGAGTATACAACCAAATGCTTCTTAATCTGGTTTATTATAATGTTTACATTATGCCCATCGATGGTACCTAAAACCAAGTCAACCAAAACATTATGAGGCTATGGATGCTATTTGGTCATTTGTTGCCAACAGACACATATTTTTAAATCATTAATATTCAGTCAGTTTAAAAAATGTGCACTGAGGGCCTCCCTGGTGGCTCAAGGGGTTAAGTCTCAGAACTATGAAGCTACTGGTAGTCACTGCTGCATGAGATCAATCCCCAGCCAAGGATGGTGCAGCAGACCTCTCCTGTCTCACCCGCTGCTCCCCTCAGCAGTGTATTTCAGTCATTCTGCCTGTTCTGCTTCCCACTCTGTCTCTGGTGAATCCTTACACTGCCCCCACCACCTCTGGCCTATACCCCAATTCTTGTATGCATAAGCAAATAAAATTAAAATCTTTTTAAAATGTGTATTGAGCAATTACTACATATGAAGACCTCGGCTAAGTAACAGAGGGTCAGCCATGAACCAGACAACATGGTTGCTGCTCTCTGAGAGCTCACAGTCTAATGGGATACACAAAGAAACACTTAAAATGCACTTTTCATGCATTTACTTAGGTAACTGGGATACAGACACATCTTGCAGGTATGTAGAGGAGAAACATCTGACCCAATCCTAGGATATGGGGCATTTACTGCAGGAAGCAACATCCCAATGCTTAGGTCCTGTAGGAGATAGAAATAAGATAAGACATGGTTCCTGCTCTTCAGTTGGTGATTCATTCCAATAGTTCAAAACCTACAAAATAAGTCACAATGTAAGATACATTCCCCAATATATTTCACTATGGGATAGACTATAAATGTAGAAAATCAGGAAGTTTGGAACCTTTCAAGGAAACTTGAAAGGGAGGTTCTGGAGGAGGAGGAAGTTCTGGGGAAGGGAGGTTCTGGAGGAGGAGAGGAGACCAATGTCAAGCAGGTAAGTATGAATTAATATAATAACAAATACAACCAAAGCTTCCTGGGAAGGAGAGTCATGTAATAATTTGATGTTGTATAGAACATTCATTTAGCAATAGTTTAAAGTCTTTGTTCCCACACGGGGGGTACATATCAGAATCACTTATGGAGTTTTAAAAATTTCCATTGTGGGTCAGGAAGTTGACTTCACGCTGTGAAGCTGTCCGCAGCCTCTGCAGTGCGGGTTCAAACCTGGCCGGCCTTGGAGCAATTCACATGGCGCAGCAGACCTCTCCTGTCTCACCTGCTGCTCCCCTCAGCAGTGTACTTCGTCCGTCTGCCTGTTCTGTTCCCCGCTTTCTCTGGTGAATCCTCTCACCCTTCCGCGCATCTGGCC